TGTAGAATGATGAGAAATTTAAAATGCCTTGTGGTAATGTTGGCTCTGTTGCGCTAAATTGAATACTTTTGATTTTACTTCACAAGTCTAACTGCTAGGTGGGCTGGGGCGCTGTATAGCAGTGGAGACTTAGCAGTGCATGAGCTCTGGGTGCTGTGTCTAGTACTGTGCTGGGGACTCTGGGGACTGGTAACTAGAAAACACTAAACGCATGTGGCTTGTATTATTGGACATCAATGTCAATGTTCTAGGATAGATGCGATTTTTAAAGTCTTTTTGTGTTTTTTTGTTTGTTTTATTTATTTATTTATTTATTTTTTTGAGAAACGGCTGTCCTAGAATTAGCTCTGTAGACCAAGCCAGCCTAGTTTTACAGATACTCACTTGGGTCTGCCTCCCAAGTGCTGGGATTAAAGGTGTGCCACCACCTGCCGGCTTTAAATCATTTTTAAAAGAAACTTAACAAAAAATTCCAATGGCCTGCATTCTATTTATGAATTCAGTTAAGAAGACAGCATTGTCTCACAGCTGAGATATATGTCTTCATTTGCCCATATAAAAACTCCTTATTAAAATAGTGGGCCATTGAGATGGCTCACTGGGGGGAGTCATGTGTTACCAAGCCTGGTGACCTGAGTTCAATACTTGAAATTCACATGGTGAAAGAAGAGAAAAGATTGCCACAAGTTGTCCTTTGACTACCACATGTGTATGTTCTCTTTCTCATGTACACTGTAAAAAAAGATAATGCCTTTTTCTTCCTTGTGCCCTATTTTATTTATGGCCCCAGATTCCTTATAACCCCGTGCTGCTGTGTTGCCGGTTGTCCCTCATTCTGACACAATCGCAAGTGATCACTTGTGGTTTTTGTTTTAAATAGTCAATACCTGTATGTAACCAGTAATTTGTTTTTTTTTTCCCCTCTCTGTTTCTCTTTTTGTTTGTTTGTTGTTTGTTTGGTTTTTTTTCCAAGATAGAGTTTCTCTGTGTAGTTCTGGCTGTCCTAGAACTTACTCTGTAGACTAGGCTGGCCTCAAACTCAGAGATCCACCTGCCTCTGCCTCCCAAGTGCTGGGATTAAAGGTGAACGCCACCACTGCCTTTCTTCCATCTTTCTTAGATGGTTGTGTATGCCTTGAGTTTCCCTTGTTGCTTTGGCTCACTTCCAAATACAAAAATGTTAAAAATAACATGGCAGCTGGGCTTGGTGGCGCACACATTCAATCCCAGCATTCGTGAGGCAGAGGCAGGTTGATCTTTGTGAGTTTGAGGCCAGCCTGGTCTACAAACTGAGTTACAGGACAATTAGAACTGTTACACAGAGTAACCTTGTCTCAAAAAACTTAAAAAAAAAAAAAGATAGAACAAATAAGGAAAGATAAAGAATGGGTATGGTAGAGCCAAGTGTGGTGGTGCACACCTTTAATCCTAGTATTGAAGAGGCAGAGACAAATGGATGTCTATGGATTTGAGACTGACCTGGTCTACATAATGGATTGTAGGACAGCCAGGCCTATGTAGAGAGAGACTGAGACCCTGTCTCAAAAATCTTAAAAAAAAAAAAAAAAAGGAAGGGGGAAGAAAGAATGGTGATGGTAGAAAGTGTTGTCTGTCTTAGAAGCCTTGATGGGATGCCTTAGCCGAAGTGTTTACCAGAATGTGCTCTCCAGAGCACTGATGCTTTGGAATACTAATGTCATACCTTGAGAGGAGAGTTCCACAGTTAAATGAGTTTGCAAACTGCTGAGTTAAACAGAATGGTGTCTGCAGAACCCTTTCAGATGGGTTATTATGCTAATGTCTTTTAATCCCTAGGAGGTAAGGATGTTGGGGCTAGCACATGTTATGTTGAATACATTTTGGGAAGAGACAATGATTCTTTCTAAGGATGATGTCATTGCTTTGCAGTAGATACTGTTTGTTATGTTTCTAGAGTAGGGCTCTATTTATTGCTTTTCGGACTGCTGTTTTCTTACTCTGAAGGGGTGTTTACTTCTGAGATGAATTTTTGGCATGATAATGTGGCTGAGCAAGTTTCTCTGACTTTCTGATGCCACGAGTAATCTTAGCAGTGTCCAAACCTTAGCCAGTGTTCCTCGTTCTTGGCGTTTGCAGAGGGCCTTGCAGTGCCTTAGCTGAAGCAGACTTCTTTCAGTTGCCCGTCTCTGGGAGTCAGCTTTGTGCCAGATGCACTAAAATGCCTCTGTGTCTCCGCACGCGGCTAGAACAGTGTGAACGGCCTGGAGATCGTTTGTGCCTTGGCACTTCTGTGTCTTTTTCATTTAGTTCTGCCAATTTATGTTATGCTAAAAATATGTCCATTTCATGCAGATTTCAAATTGACTTCAATCAGAAGTCTAGGATAAATAGAAGCATAACATTCCTCTTTGACATAAATGTTTTAGCTCAGATTCTGACAAGATTGAAAATTCTGATGTGATCCACTCAAACTAACTGATTGATCCTTTCCTGCAAGAGTCTTAGATTTAGATTTAGACTCGTTTTACAGGCTTTACTTTTTTTTGGTGGTTATACCCTAGTGAATTATTCTGCTTGCTTTTGTCTTTGTTTTTATAGCCTCTTGAGTTGAGTCACTTATTTTCACTTTTTATTGCTTAAGATAAATCGTTAAGGCACTCATTTCCCTTGTACTTTTTTGTTGTAGATGATGCTTTCTGAGCCTCAATGTTTTATTATGAAAAATTTCCAAGCTGCAGAAAAATTGACAGGTTTTCACAGTGGCCACTTGACTGCTGTGTGCACTGTTAACAGTTTATTGTGTTTGCTTTGTCACTTGTCTGTCTATCTGGTCTGGGAGTTAGTGCTCAAGTGAATCGGAGACAGGCAGACTTACTCTCAGGCCCTTCTTGCTCGCGATTCAGTACTTAGTATGGAGCATTTCCACAGGTTGGCTAGATGTGATGGTGTACTTCTGTAAGCCAGGCATTCAGGACAAGCCTGAGTGTGAGGCCAGACTGCTCTGTGGGGTGAGGCCCTGACTCAGAAAGCAAAATATCTTTTGGTTGGATTTCAAAACCAAATTATTATTATTATTATTATTATCATCATCATCATCATTTTGGTGTTTTGAGACAAGGTTTCTCAGTAGTTTTGGAGCCTGACCTGGAACTAGCTCTTATAGACCAGGCTGGCCTCGAACTCACAGAGATCCACCTGCTTCTGCTTCCTGAGTGCTGGGATTAAAGGCATACAACACCACTGCCCGGCTATAAAATTAGAATTATTAGTTCTGGTTTTGTGTTTACCTTAGCAGCTGTGTGTTAGTATGTACATGCAAGTTGTCTACTTGTGTGTGTACACACATGCATACCGCAGTGTTCTTGAGGTTAGAGGACAGCTTTGGGAAATTGATTCTTCTTCCATCATAGGGGTTCTAAGAAACTGAACTTAGCTTCACCCATTGAGCCATCTCACCAGCTCCTTCAGTGGTTTCCAGTGGTTCAGTGCTGAAGGTTCTAGGTCAGGAGTGGTGGGAGCAGTGTCCCGGGCATGCTAGTGCCATGAGTAGCATGGAGGGCCCTCCACTTGCAATGTGCCCATCACTCTTCTTTCTTTTGTCTGAAATAACACTTTCCTGCAAGGGACAGGGACCGTACATTTCTTGTTCTTCAAAGGTATGTGGGGAAAGCCCTAATCACGATTACACTGGAAAGAAGTTTGTTCCATTCACTGGTTTGAGTTGCTGGATGCTTGAAAAACTACTGATTAGAAGTATGTGAGTGGAGGCTGGGGAGATGTTTCATTCAATAAAGTGTACACAAGCATGAGGATCTGAGTTCCAATCCCTGGTACCCATGTAGCAAGAACAAGGAGGGCCGTGAGATAATTCAGCATCTGCCTTAAAGCCTGATGTGTTGTAGTAGGAGTGGCGGGTGCTTCCCGCCACCCAGCTAGCTTTACCTGAAATAATTACACGGAAACTGTATTCTTTTAAACACTGCCTGGCCCATTAGTTCCAGCCTCTTATTGGCTAGCTCTTACATATTGAGCTAACCCATTTCTAATAATCTGTGTAGCCCACGAGGTGGCTTACCAGGAAAGATCTTAACCTGCGTCTGTCTGGAGTGGGAGAATCATGGCAACTGACTGACTCAGCTTCTTTCTCCCAGCATTCTGTTCTGTTTACTCCGCCTACCTAATTTTATGTCCTATTAAAGGGCCAAGGCAGTCTCTTTATTTAACCAATGAAATTAACACAAAACAGAAGACTCTCTCCCCCCCATCACTGATGAGCTGGGCTCGATCTCCCAGTCCTTGTGAGGGAAAGAATCAACTTCCAAAAGTTGTTCTCTGGTCTCTGCATGGGCACCGTGGCATCTCAGACATAAATAAATAAAATGAAATTAAAAAAAATGATTGGAACTGTGGTTAAGAGCACAGGTTTGGTCTTCAACACCCACAGGGTGGCTTACAACCATCTATAACTGCAGTCCCAGAGGATCTATCACTCAATTCTGACCTCTGAGGACACAGAGTGTACATGGTACATAGTCATACTGTCAGGCAGAACACTTGTACACACAAATAATAATAAAAATTTTAAAACTGGACTTGGGGACATGTGCCTGTTATTGCAGTGCTCTGGGGCTTGTTGGCTAGCAAGACTTGCCAGTTGGTGAGCTCAGTGGAAGACTACTCTCAATAAAAGAAGGAAGATGCCAGTGTTGTTGACCTCTGGTCCCTATAAACATGCTCACACGTGTTCCGGCCCATATGATGTGTATGTACATAAACATATACACAGACATAAACCATACATAGAGAATTATACAAGGTAGGTGTTATACAAAGTGGAATATTTTTGTAGAGCCCTTTAGAGACCCTCAGCTGTAGGTGAATAGTAATTTTTCTTGAAGGGCACCACTTTTCCTCAGCTGAGCCAGCCTTCCTATGCATTCAATGTTTTACTTTGATCAAATTGAGTGTTGAGCGAGAAGAATGATACTGGGCTAATTGATTGTACACTTATTTGGCTTTAGGTGAATTGATGGAGAGATGGAAGATGAAAACTAATCAAGAGGAGGAATGTTCAGGCAGACCCTAGGAGTGCTAGCTGCCGAGTTGATGTGAGCTCGTATTTATGCTGCTTGTCTTGCTGAGGAGCTCTGGCGAGTTACGGATGCTCTTTGTCTCTGCAGATTACGCCTCGTGTCAGTAGAAATGGACAGCAGCAGTTTCATTCAGTTCGATGTGCCTGAGCACAGCAGCACTGTTCTGAGCCAACTAAATGAGCTCCGCCTGCAAGGGAAGCTATGTGACATCATCGTCCACATTCAGGGTCAGCCATTCCGAGCCCACAAAGCTGTCCTCGCGGCCAGCTCCCCGTATTTCCGGGACCATTCGGCATTGAGCACTATGAGTGGCTTGTCGATATCTGTGATTAAGAACCCCAGCGTATTTGAGCAGTTGCTGTCCTTCTGTTACACTGGAAGAATGTCCTTGCAGTTGAAGGATGTTGTCAGTTTTCTGACCGCAGCCAGCTTCCTTCAGATGCAGTGTGTCATTGACAAGTGCACGCAGATCCTGGAGAGCATCCACTCAAAGATCAGTGTGGGAGATGTTGACTCTGTCACCATTGGTGCTGAAGAGAATCCCGAGAGCCGGAATGGAGTGAAAGATGGCAGCTTCTTCGCCAATCCTGTTGAGATCTCCCCTCCATATTGCCCTCAGGTACGGCAGCCTCCAGTCAGCAGCGATCTCCGGATGGAGACGACCCCCAACAAAGCCCTTCGGAGCCGCTTACAGGAAGAGGGACACTCAGATCGGGGGAGCAGTGGCAGCGTGTCTGAGTACGAGATTCAAATTGAAGGGGACCACGAGCAAGGGGACTTGTTAGTGAGGGAGAGCCAGATCACTGAGGTAAAAGTGAAGATGGAAAAGTCTGAGCGGCCCAGTTGTTCTGACAGCTCCTCCCTGGGTGATGATGGCTACCACACAGAAATGGTTGATGGGGAGCAAGTTGTGGCAGTGAACGTGGGTGCCTATGGCTCTGTGCTCCAGCATGCGTATCCCTACTCCCAGGCAGCCTCACAGCCTTCCAGCATGCCAGAAGCTTTTGGAAGTCAGAGTAATTCCAGCCCATCCAGGTCCATGCTGAGCTGCTTCCGAGGCCGTGGTGCCCGCCAGAAGCGTGCTCTGTCTGTTCACCTGCACAGTGACCTGCAGGGTGCAGTGCAAGGATCTGACAGTGAAGCCATGATGAACAATCCCAGTTATGAGAGCAGTCCCCGGGAGAGGAGTGCAAGGGGTTACTGGTACCCATACAATGAGAGGTTGATCTGTATTTACTGTGGGAAGTCCTTTAACCAGAAGGGAAGCCTCGACAGGCACATGAGACTGCATATGGGAATCACCCCCTTTGTGTGCAAGTTCTGTGGGAAGAAGTATACACGCAAGGACCAGCTGGAGTACCACATCCGGGGCCACACTGATGACAAACCATTCCGCTGTGAGGTCTGTGGGAAGTGCTTTCCATTCCAGGGCACCCTCAACCAGCACCTGCGGAAAAACCACCCAGGTGTCACTGAGGTCAGGAGTCGCATGGAGTCTCCCGAAAGAACAGATGTGTACATGGAACAGAAACTTGAAAGTGATGTGTCAGTCTCAGAAATGGCTCTAGATTCCCGAATGGAAATCCACACAGTATCTGATGCGCCTGACTAAGGTGCTGCAGAGAAAGAGCTCCTGAACAAAGCACATCAGTCAATGCATAGTTGTGATTTGCTTTGTTGTAATCTTTGGTTTTCCCCATCTGGAAATCTCTTGGTTTCTTGGTAGTTTCTCTGAAGGTTCTGGGTGTGGCACTTGTGTTTACCCTTATCTCCTCTTCCCTCCCCCAGGAGCTCAAAGCATGAAGGGCAGCAGAGCCAGGGAGAACACAGACTGAGAGTATTCCTCCTTGGCTGATTGCTTCTCCCAACTCTGCCAGTGATTTAGCTATGCCAACTGGTCGACCCCACGTTCTCTGCCAAGAGGCGGGCACTCTTTGACTGTGGGTGCTAGCCCCAGTGCATTTTAATGGAAAGAGGCTAGGATGCCGTCAGCTGATACAAATGGGTAACCTTTTCTAATTTAAAATTAGTTTTAGGGGTAGTTAGACAATTTATATATATATAATAAAGTGGTTATTATATATATAGTATATATACATTCTCAAATTGGGGTTTATTCTGGTTGAGGTGAATGTAAGAGGAATATATAATTTAATACAATGTGAACAGAGTCTGACTCTGTTTCAACCCCGCCTACTATGTTAGTTTCCACCCTTTGTTTTCCTTACTGAAGAATGTCAGTAGATTTTCACATACAGTAATCATTGTGTCCAAATGCAAGCAAAGCAAATCACAGTGTTCATAGCTCTGCTTCATAACAAACACATAAACCAAATGCCATAAAACTCCTTCAACTGTAGTAGGAACCATTTGGAACTTTTGTTTGTTGTCCAGCTGTGCTGGATGACCTGTGGTGCTGACCTTTCTACACAGTGTAGTGTTATACTAGCCAACCCCAAAGGAGCAGTGGTTTTCAAGGTTTTTACTACAAATCTACCTACCTTCATTCTGTACTGTAGAAGCATACATACCAGGTAACTAATCAGATCACTCCACCGTGAGTAGTGCTCTCACTAAAGGGCAGGAGTTTGTAGCACTTGCCTACAAAATTCTCCAGGTAGTGTTGTGCTTTATCGTTTGTTTTCTTTTGGTTTTTCTCTCTCTCCTCAAACAGCCAGTTCAGGTGCACAACAACTTTTTCTATGCAGTTCCCAGGGAAGCTGCAGAACTTGGAATTTGTACTTTTTGTAAAGCTGTACTCTACGGGAATTGCAAGCAATATATCTAGTCTTAGTATTGTGTGTGCTAATGAGAGCCTCAGTGGCTCCTCCACTCTCTCAGTGTTTCTTGCTTAAAGAAAAAAATGTCAAAACCATCTAAGATCCTCAGTGTGTCACCAAATCTGTGTGTATGTCTCACCATTTTTGGTCACGTGGTGCTATTTTTATGTTAAGTATCTTTTAGGTCAGTATTGTCTAGAAAATGTGAAACCTACGAATAGTGATGACTTATTTACTTTCCTCTCAAGTTCACAGCTTGAAAAGAACCCTCAAAAGCATGTGCTGGCAAACGGGTTGTGTCTGAGTTGTATCTGGTCAGCGCTTTGGAAAATGTCTGTTTGCTCTTAGGTTCATACACACCAACAGGCTTCACAAATGCTCTGGTTCTGTGAACTCAGGCAGAGAGGGCAGTTTGATAGGCAGTTTACAGGCCAGGTTTGCGGCTGACTGCAGAGACAGCAGCGCTCTAGTCTCTGCCTGAGTACCTGGGCTCTGAGACCCAGACTCAAGCAAAACCCAGAAACTGAGGACCAACCTCAGAGGCTAGGAGCTAAGGAATACAAAATAGATGTTTGCTGATTTGCCATGCTTTTTTGGCTCTTAAAATACCAAGAATGATGGGTTTGGGGGGAGGTGTTTTTGTTTAGTTTGTTTGGTGGTTTTGTTTTTTGTTTTGTTTTGCAGGAAGTGGGGGAGGTTCAAGATAGGGTTTCTCTGTGTAGCCCTGACTGTCCTAGACTAGCTCTGTAGACCAGGCTGGCCTCGAATTCAGAGATTCTCCTGCCTTTACCTCCTGAGTGCTGGGATAAAGGTGTGTGTCATCACCACCCAGCTTTTTTTTGCTTTTTTTCCTTTTTTTTTTTTTTTTGCCGAGGGGGGTGGTTAGTTGAGAAAAAGTTTGATTCCAGCCCTTCCTTCATGTGTAGCAGCCCCGGTGCACACAGTGGCACCGTCCTAGCACACAGGATCTGCTCATATGTGAATTGCTCGCCTCACCTCAGTGTTAACTCCTGTAGATGACTAATCCTGCCGCTCCTAGAGCGGCTCTTCTGATCGGGTATACGGTATGCCTTCTCCTCGTCAGACTGCCTAAATCGGGGTTCTCTCCCTGAAGCATTTGTTCAGCTTAGGAAGCTGACCGCCTCAAGGGAGAATGGACTCCCAAGTGTTTACCTACTTAAGTGTGTTCTGAGGTTTCAGGTAAATGTTTGTGATTTTTCATTTTCCTTACACAAATATATTTTGTTTTGATTTTTCTTTTTGAGAATTAAATGCAAAACTTCTTTTTTTATTATTTTGTGTTGTGATACCAGTTAAGTTTGTGACAAGAAAGGCCCCAAATCCAAGGATGTGCAACGTGGAGCTCAGGGAAGGAGCCTCCTTTTCACTTTTTGTGGTGAGGGGAGCGCACTCTGGCCGCACGCCCATGTCCTGGCTCTTGTCACTGTCTGTCTGAACTTATGTGCATGGAGTTCTTGTTTCTGAACTTACGTACTTGTAGTTCTTATGTTTGTCAATTTGTTTAGCTGGTTTGAGTTTACCAAAGAGTGACTTATCCAAAATTGTCTTTGACAAAAATATACATTGCTTTGATTGTACAGTTCAGGTTCTAACATTGTAATGGGACTGTTAAGGGGCAGAAAACCAATTTGAGTTTTTAATGATCATGATTCCGCATTTTGCAAGTTGCGCTTGCTCCCATTCGTGTTGCTAACACTTTACCCTCTCCACTGCTAGCAGTGTTAAAAATGAATTCTCAAGCCATAACACAGTACTGTAAAGTTCACGGGGCTTTGAGGGAGGCAGGGCCCAGGCCAGCACAGCACTGCATAGCCTATCTGCACACTTGCACTAGGTGCCTGCGGTGGGCATGGCTGCTGAGGGCTCTCCATGCAGACAGGGCAACAGCGGTCAATTGTGCCTAGCTACATGAGGATGTGCCAGGAGAGCCAGCTTGGCCACTCGAGCAGGCTTCTTTCCCTTAAGCTCACTATGTAACTCCTTAGAGCGACTCCTTGTGGACAGCAAACCTGTCCCTGTACAGTTGTAGGTTAGGTCTCTCACTATAGCAGACGCAGAAGTCCACTAAGATAAACATATGTGAAGACATCCTTTACAGTGAAGTATGTCCTGCTTTCATACAGGCCTGTGCGTAATTGAGTCTCTTCTCAGCTACCTTTCCATGTTAGACAATGTGAAGACAGCCACAGCACCCTTCCTTCCCTGTGACATTTACCCCATTGCACAAACTGTGAAGACGTTTTATACTTTTGCTAACACTTGTGGTTTTCAGTCCTTATGTTTCTTCATCAGTCTTCTTTCTGCCCTCTCGTTTCTACTAAAGCTGTAAATACATTTAGAAACCGTTTGTAAATACGATGACAAAGATGAGTTCATTTTCCCATTCAGTGGAAAAGCCTCCCGATCAATTGGCTCTGCCTTGGCAATTTTTTGTTGTTGGTGGGGATTGTTTGTTTGTTTCCTTCCTTCCTTCATCCCTCCTTTCCTTCCTTCTTTTCTTCCTTCCTCCCTCTTTTCCTTTCTCTCTCCTCCCTCCCTCTCTCTTTCGAACAGCAGAAAGGATACTGTCGGTTCACTGTTAAGTAGAATATACTGTAGGACTAAATTGGTAATTTTTAAATCTTCCCAGAGCTTAAGTGTATGTCTCTTTTAAGGACAGCAAGTATAACCACCTCTTTTGTTTTACCCTTAGCCCAGACCACAGGCCTGCATATTTTTTTGTATGTGAGATTGATTTTAACAACCTGGATTCTGGGGAGAATTTGCAGGAACACAAAGCAAGGACTAGGGGAAATGGTCCATGTGAATGAGCTCTACTTTAGGTTGATGTGTCTTATTTTAAGCTTTCCACTTGTTACTGTTACTGTGATGTTTTTGTTATCACTGTTGTTAAATTCTATAATGGTTTCCTGTGAAGCCTCCACTGAAAGGGACTCAAATATGCAACATCTAAACTATTTTCCAAGGGCTCATGCCCCTTGAATGGTGCTTCTAGCCTGGTCAGGGTTATTTATTAAATTTTATATATGAAAGTATTGGGAAATTATGTAAACTCTTTATACGAAACTGTCTAGTTCTTACATCGTAGATTTCATATACTCAGTGCAGCTGAACTGAGAGTTCAGCGAAGTCATTCACTCTGTTCCACATTTGTAATGGTCGCCACACGTCGTCTTCAGGAAGTACCAGAGTTCCCACTCTTCCTGCCAGGGCTTGCCAGCTTCAGGTGTCCCCTGGGTCTGGCACAGACAGGGCTATCGCTGCTCCTCAGTAGCTACTGGAGTAAGCCTCACTCACTGCTCATTGGCAGATTGAGCACACAGACCTCCCACTGCCCTTCAGTGACAAGTTATGCTGTGAACTCAGCCTCGGGACTTGGAGACTAAGTCCCAGGCTGCTGCCCTGACTAGAGCAAGAGGTAAACTCACTGCCTCCCCTGAGAACGACCTTTTCCTGATGTGAAACCATCTCTTAACACTTCAGCAGTAGGGCTAATACAGTGTCCGTTACAAATGACTGAGCAATTTGAATGACTTCACATGGTGTCATTATCTTGCAATATAAACTGGTAACCTCACAACGCCACACTTCATCACCACGTGAAGTAAATGAAGCTAGCTAAGCGGATGCTGTATCAACTAGTAACTTGCCATTAAGGGTTATTTTATAGCATGAATTGAAGACTATTTATTCAAATGATATTTTACTCTTGTATTCATTTTGCTTTAGGTTTGTGACATGAATATTTCAGTGCTGCTTAATTTTGTTCTGAATTCTTGTTTCTTGCTTGTAAATGGCTTTTTTATGATATAAAGTCATTGGGAATTGCTGTTTGTAAATAAAGATGCTGCCAGAGCAACCTTGCTGTGGTCTCTGTCCCCACCTACCAGTGGCCTCGGACGCACCCACCCACCTGTGGCCTCAGGCACACTCCTGCCTCTGATGAGCATCTGTTTGTCTAGCCCCTGGTTTCCTGAAAGCCTGAGAAAGCCTAGGTGTACCCCAAGAAGACTGAAGCAGCTGTGATATTCTGGTCCTTTCTGTGTACCAAAGACTAGGTAGGTGTCCTCAACATTGATGCTGCGTGCTTTCCCCACCCAACTGTAGACGCTCCCTGTGACAACTCTGGGGTACCTTGCCCAGTGCAGCATGCAGTAGGGTAGTCCATTCATTCTGTGCTTAGTTGACAGTGACCATGGCTGTTGCTCCTCTTTCCTTCTGTTCCTTGCCGTCTCCCCTCTTGCACACACCTGTACTGGACAGTTACTAGTGGAGCTGTTAACAGTCCCACCCTTCAGCCTGTCAGCTCCTTATTGCACAAATTGTGCAGCCTTGTCCTTGTGTTCTCAGCACAGGCCCTGTACACAGCTCGATGGGTGGCTGGCAGGTGTTAGGTGAAGGAGTTAGCAAGCCCAGATCTGGAGGACTAAAAGAGGGGGAGGGGATGCAGTGTGGGTCAACTTGGTTCCCGTGATTCTACCATTTGATTATTGCTTGTGAGTCACGGCTGCTGGAAAGTTCTCTCGTCTGAGCAGGGCTCCCTTACATAACTTAGGGCATTCTCTACTTTAGGGTTTTATTTTACTTTCTGAGACCACCTCACACATAGTCCAGCATGGACTCACACTCATGATGTAGCCAAGGATGACCTAAAACTTCTGATCTCTTGCTTGTAGCTCTGGACTGCTGGGATTAGGAGCACACACCACCCCATCTGGTTTATGTTGTGTTTGAGTTCCAGCTTGGGGCTTTCTACGTGCTGAGCAAGCCCTGTGCCAGCTGAGCCACACCTCTAGCCCCTGTTCACGCTTTAACCGTGGAACCCACTTTTGACATGTCTTGGTAGAATTAAGGTGGTGGACCCCAGAACCTGGATGCTTGCTGCTTTGGCAATCAAGTTACTTCTGTATTCCTGTCATCCTAACTAGTCACTTTCAGATGAATCGTTCATCACACATCTGGGGCCCTGGAACTGGCTTCAAAGAATTTTCTAAATTTTCTTTTCTTTCCTTAATCCCTTCACTTTCTTCCCTCAGTTTTCTAAGTATTAATGTAAGCATCAGAGGGTGGGTATTGCCTTGACTTTGAGACTTCTGGGGTCTGAGGCTAGAGGCCATCATTGAAGTTCTTTGAGGCCTCGCCAAATCTCAGTATCCTTGCTTTGATGGATGATTCTTGTTCTCCAGGGTACTCTGGCTTCCCTTCCCCAGGGAGTCAGCCTCTGGCACTGTTGAGAATGGGGGAAAGGAATTCCTTGTCTTGCCTGTGCACACGGGAGGCATGCTGGACTGGTTGCGAGTCTGGTCCCCTTTCTCTTTACCCTTTAATCACAACTTCTTGATGCCATGGTCTTCTCCGTGTCTTCCTCACACATTGTAGGCAAGCACTAACCCACTCAGCCCTCCCTGCCTGCTCTGATGTGGCTAGGCGGGTGGTGAAATAGGGGCCTGCTACCAGGTTACAATACCAAGCACCTCTTCCTCATCCCCCCTCCCCCCCTTTCCCTGGCCTCCTGATTAGGCCTCTTGCCACCAGGCTCTGTTGAAAGCCTCCTGTTGGGGATATTATTTTAAGGTGTGCTGCTGTTTGTGCTGCATTTGTTTAACTCTGAAGCTGTGATTCTTTGCCTGTCTAAACAGCTGATGGTCTAATAAGAGCTGAATGG